ATCTTGTTGTATGTCACCCTTTCCTTGGTCTTGGATGAATCCTGTTGCAGGTCACGGTTCCCCTTGTCTTGGATGAGTCCTGGTGTATGTCACGCCTTCCCTGGTCTTGTCACGTGCCCCCGCCGTCTTGGATGAGCCCTGTTGTATGTCACGCCTTCCTTGGTCTTGGATGAGTCCTGCACGAGCGCATTCGTGGGGACCTGTCTCCGAGCAGGGCCTAGAGTCGGGGATCCGATTGGTTCTTCGCCTTGATCCGACCGGCCGATCTGGTTCCCTGATACCTGCAGCTTGCTACAATCAGCATGCGCCGCATGTCGACAACAACGCCTGGCAGAACGGCTTACTCTGTACGACAGACACTGGGTTTTTGTTCAGGAACTATGAGGACCTTAGGCCATCCCCAGCCTGAAGGACCCGAGGTCCACTGACGAATTCTTTGGCAGCAGCCGCTGGCGTCGCCATGTTCGTAAATGCAAGTTCAGTGCAGGCACTGTTTTGGTGACCTTGGCAATCTTTCGCCTCCCTCCATGGTTCGAAAATACCATTCTTGAATCCTCAATAACCAATGATAGGAAAATCCAACAGTCAATGTCTTGTCGGCTGTCTGCGTGTCGCTTTCCTTTTATTTGTGGCTTGCCTGAGAGCGGTGTTAGTGATCAAAGTCCAACTCTTCGACATGCAGGGATAAGACTCGGCAGACACGCTGAAGCATGAACATCCAAAGGGGTTTATCGCGCTGCATGACTGGCTGCTCAGCAAATGCTCGGGCCAGGCAGCACACACTGAAAGCTTTCGAGTCAGGAAGGGTTTGGAGTCAGGGCAGACCATTGACCAAAACAAGAAGACCCTGCACACTGCACCCTGAGACACAAATACAAACAAAAACACAGGCAATCCCGCACGCGCCCACGCACACGCACAAACACGCACAAACACACACACACACACACACCCGCCCACACACAGAGACAAACAGAAAGAAAGGCAAACACATGCACACTTTGTGGCCCTTTCTGCGTGTACATCGCCCGGAGAAATGTCCTGATGTTGCTAACAGCCTAGGTGCGCATGTCGCGCTCTGAACTGGCAATCGAGGAATCGAGGTCGCTGTACTCCCTGGCGAGCAGCACTCGTCGCCATCCTGCATTCGTGCACTGAGGCGTTCCAATATCTCCGAGATTTTCCGAGTCAGCATCGAACACCCAGACCGGCTTGGCCTGGAAACCACGTCCAGTCCTTGCCATTGCCTCTGGTACATTGACGGCCTTGCCCTGCTAGCCTAAGTGGGACCAGCCCCGTTCGAAGGAAAAGCTCCAAGACCACCCAGCTCCAGAATCCGGTCCACTGTTCTCATGGTCAGCAGCATGGTGTCCTCCAGGGGAATGAGCTACTAAGCAGCTGAGCCATCCGACCTAATATCAACCAGTCAACTAGCAAAGCTGCATTTGTCGCATTGCTACGGGCACGCCGTGAGTGTTCATCGTCGTACTGCTACTGCTAGATGGTGCTATTCATTTCACCAGTGACTATGACGATTATTGATATTGATGTCAATAGTGGTACTGTTATGATTACTACCATTGCGACAACCATCATTACACATTACGATGGTTATTATGATAATTCTTACTCTTAGTCTTAGTCTTACTCTGACTCTTACTGCTATCATTATAATTTATGCTGTTCGCCATATTTAATACTGCTATACTACTACTACTACTACTACTACTACTACTACTACTACTACTGCTTCTGATACTACTACTGCTAGTACCACTACATGAAGACCTCGTACTCGCCGGAGCGCAGGGTTTCTCGAAAGGTGCCCAGTTGATGCTCAAACCTCCGCTGATGCAAAGGCACCGTCTCTGTTACAAGCCAAGCTAAGGTTAAGGAAGTTTATGTTGAGAGACAGCTTTTTTTATTGTCGCTTTGCTAGACTGTATGGGCTACAGAACATAGAACCATTCGCACTCTCGCCATTCGGGCGCCACAAGATGCCGCAAGCTCAACGCTCAAATGCAACGAGGCAACCAGTCACTGGATCACAAGAATCAAGCAGCCGAAGCCCGGAAAACAAGAGCCCCAGCTCTTCTGAACTCACGACTTCGGACTGACAGAAACCCTAAGAGCCTAAACCTCTGTCGGATTCTGCTTTCCAGGCCACGTGGTTTCGCCAAGGCCATAGAGCTGTTCGGACTGGGTCACTCCCAGACCTAAATATATCATATTATATATCATAGTATTGTAGTATATATAGTTCTATACTGTACTATGATATGACAGAATATGTTATGTTACACTACGCTATATTATCATATATCTATAGAAAGATACTATATTTTGTTATGATATCACATATTTTACTGTACTGCGTTTTACTGTATTATATTATTATGTTATATATAGCATTTTCGAATCTTCTTATGGTATTTTATATGGTGTTATGTTATATGCGTAGCATTATTTTTATTGTTATTATTATTATGATTATTATATGTATATATATATATATGTATGTATATATTTCTATATTGCATAGTATTCTATTTTGAATGGCTAGATTTATTAAATATTGTATAAGATCATGACATATTATGTTGTATTATATATATATATATATATCGTACTATATCTAAGTATATTGCTTTAGAGCGTGAGCTTCCACAGGCAGCTCGTGGTCTGCATAGGCTGGTGTACAGTTTTCAGGACAACTTAAATCCTACAGTATCTGGAATTCCTCTATCGACCTTCACAAAAGGCGGTATCACAAGCCTTCACCAAAGATCGTTCAATGAATCACACCCGAGAAATCTCTACCACTCAGCTACTGCCACAACTAAAGCAGCATGGAAACAAAACCGTAGGAGGAGCCCTCCGAGGCGAAAGCGCGTCAAGTCCAGACGATGCCAAAGAAAAGGAAAGCCGAAGTTGTGGAGCGTAAGGCTGGAGGCCTGCAAGGCAGGGCGAGGTTGGGGCTATGGGCAGAGAAGTAGAAGGGCACTTTGGGGCATCTGGGACTGGCTCTACCAGAAGATCAGCTATGAATCTCAAAGCTCAAGTCGCAGGCGCTCAGATTGCCGCTAGCGCCTGATCGTCTGAGTTTTGACCAGCAGCGGACAGGCTCCATGTAAAGGGATCCAGAAGTGAATCTCTGGCCATCGACATGGAGGCATTGATCACCAGGGACTTTGAAAGGCGGAGCTCCAGTAGAGCAGTCAGTGAGAATCGTTTCTCGGTAGCAGAGATCACCCGTGCATCCAGGGCATCTGTTGACCAAAGAAGCATGTCAACACAGTACCACCAACGATCAAAGTTCTTCACTCGCTCTCGTTCCAGTATCCGCTCTTGCATGGGATCAGCCCCAGGCCAGAACTTCATACTCCGCAGCCAGGCCTTTGGGTCGAGCATGGAGAATCTAACCTCCACGAACCGGAGGGGCGAGATTCCGCCATCCGCCACGGTCAAAGACATCAGCTGCTTTGCCCGCTTTGCTGCCGGATGGTAGCGGTAGTGTGCAGCTTCGATTACTTTGCGACGTGTACGCTCAGCCTCCTGAACCAGCTCTGAGGCCTCTTGCGCGTTGAGCACAGCTGGCTTCTCCAATAAGACATCCTTGCCTGCGCGCAAGGCTGCCAGGGACCACTCTAAGTGCAGGCCCGTCGGCAGCCCGATGTACACCGCATCGACGTCCTCTCTTGCAAGCAGCTCAGAGTAAGCACTCGATCCCCCATGGAAGGCTGGAATGCCGTGTTTGGCAGCGTAGGTCTCAGCTCGCTGCGCATCTCTTGCAGCAACGGCAGACACCCGAACGTCTTTTCTCTTGTCGGCGGCATTGACAACGGCCGCCCTTGCGATGAAAGATGCTCCCAAGATGCCAATACGAAGAGCATCCGGATCTTTGCTGTCCGAGGAAACTAACGTTTGCGGTAGTCTGCATATACGCAACAAAGCTGGCCACAGAAGCGCGGCTCCGACTGCGGCAGCCGCAACGATGATGGGGCATGCGCACTGCAATAAGCTCGTCATCCGCATGATGGAAAAACGGAGCTAAACTTGGTGCGTGTTTAAGCAGAAGCGTAGCTCAATCAAGCGCCTGACTCCGAGCGCAGGTAAACGAGATACACATTGCTTACATGCTAGACTGCCTAAGCTGCTTGTTAGCATAGCGACAACTCAAAGGTTCAGATGGAGACATCTGCAGGCAGATCAGTGCATCGCAGAAGCATGTGCAGCAGAGATCACGGACAGGGGTCACGCACTTTTCAATTGACACGCGTTGAGGACCATGACCTGATCATGGTAAGGGCTGGAATAGTTGTTCTGATATCGCCCTGCCGTGCTGCAACGCTTTGCGAGCTACGGCGGTAGTCATTCTTCAGTATGCTGCTACCGAAGTTTATCTGACCCCAACTGCAGACCACAGTATTGATGGGCTGTGTAGCCACAGGAGGACCAAAACCCTGTAGAGCATCCTATATCTGTAGATGCTGGAACATGGGAGGGGCTCAGGGGATGCCTGCCAAGAGATGCTTGTGTAAAAGTTGCCTGCCGAAGATCGACTCGACACCTGCCTCTGTACCACACAGCCACTTCTGGCTGCCAGGTGAGAGATGCTTGGGCTGGCGATTCTCGCAAGGGCAAAAGATGCCTTCCGGCAGCCCTCCAAACACTTGCAAGGATCATAAAGAATCTCCGGGAGACGCCAAGATAAGACATGGCGAATGGTTGAGCTGGAAATAACGAAAAGTTGAAGCAAGCAAACATCTTTAGTCTGCATGTGTCTGTATAGGACTGTGCAGGTAAACGGGCTCGTGGCGACCCACCGGGCTTGCACAAATTCGCGGCTGCTTTGCAGCACTCATGCCATGCACGTCCAATCTCGACTCTATATACAAAACTCGATCAGGCTGGCTTGCAGCCTAGCCCCGAAGTGAAACGTCGTGATGTAGATCAACTGCTTCAAGCCATTCGCAGAGAGGTGGTGCGGGAGGGTCCGTTTAGCCTCGCATGGCACTCGAACAACTGGTCTCGCGAAGCCAAGCGCTTTCGGATGCACGTGGTGTCGGGACTGGGTGCCCGACGCTTCTTGGACCCTCCTCCCGGCATCTTCGCGCCGAAGGGCGAGACGTACCTGCCCAACGACACATGCAGCAGTGCACTCTACAGGTCGGATTCCCAGGAGTCGCCCCAAAAATCCCAGAGCCTGCGCTGCGAGTTGGGAGCCCAGGTCGAGTTCATCTTGTCTGCTACGGCTGTCGTACCGGACCTCTCAAGTTTGCCGAGTCTACCAGGGTTCCTACAATACAGAAACGATTCTGCAGCGTGCGGAGACACTTCCGAGACCTTCTGAGTAGCTGGCCCTGAGCTCACCTAAGCACAAATTCGAGGGAAGGCCGCCCACTGAACTCACCAGGCTTTTGCCACTTTGCGGCACCACTCTTCCGAGTCGTAGCCCATGTGTCGAGTCAAGCTTTCAGTATGCAATGACTTTTACCGGTATAATGTTGCGACTGATTACACCTCCGCCTGTGCAGCACATGTAAGTCCTTCAGATTCTCTTCTGTATTCCAGTTACATGGCGGCCTGTTCAAAAACTAGGCTCTGCACCCCGCGCATGTGATCCTGGTGATCAGTTGTGGTCCAAGTGTGCGGGTTTGTGGAAGACATCGGATCCTCGGCACGCATGAAGATGCACCGCAGAGTCATGAGCGATGCTCGACCGCCTCATGCTGAGGCACTGGCGCCACCAGAGGACATACTGGACTGGGTGTTAGCTCCTCCTGTGCAGAAATGCGCTTTGCCAGCCGCACTAGTGCCCCAAGATGCCGCAGGCCTGTGGTGCTGCTCACAGTCCCGTTGAACCTCGAGCTTGTCTTCTATGAGTCTAGTCTAATTTAAGTATGAAGGTATTGCTGTTTGAGTCTTATGACCAGTAACGACACTTTGTGTAGGAGCCGGGCCCCTTGGACGTGCCCAAGACCCCCAGCGACTTCTCGCCATGCACACTGGCAGCAGGAGGCACGTCGAGGTTGGTCCAACTGTTTCAGATTTTGATTTGAAAGTCTTACCATGCCTTATAACTTACAAGTGCCGACAATCCACATGTGAACTGGCTCCATGTTGGCAGTAAACGTGATCACTGCGCTCAGGTCCACACCCTGCTCCCATAGATCCATGCACCGTCATGGTACCATGCCTCAGTGGAAGGTGGGACATGTCGACATGGCCGAAATTCCTGCCCGGTGCCCCATGCTGCAAAGGCCGTAAGCTGACCACACCATGCCGGGTTTTTGCAAAGACGCCTCAAGCGGGCGCATGTGAAAGGCACTGACAAAAGGCGACTTGAGTGAATCCTGAGCTGGTGGGCAGCCGCTGCAGTCTTGAACGTCTGCGTCTTGTTCTTGCTATCTCGTTTGCCTTTCAAACCTCCGATGGGTGGAAGGACCTCAGCATGGTCATGGACAGCTCCTTCAATTCTTATGGAATGTGCCTAGTACAAGTATGCGCAACCAGTCTGAACACAAACGCGCGTGGCTTCGTGGATCTCGTGACTTTGCAGACTGCCTGCAGGAGCTCAGTAGCGCACCATGCCATCATCGTGCACATCATCGCTATCTGCCATTCCGCCCATCTGGCACGAGGAGGCGATGGCTCCATTTCTGTTCTCTTCCGCACCTCTTCTAAGAAGACATCTCAGCGACTCAACAAGTCCCTTGGACAGTGGCCTTGCGTCTCTCCTGGCGGATAGTTGGGAGTCCACCGCTGCGCGACTCCTCTGGCCTCGCGGCACAGTCTGCCCACTCCATGATGTGCCCCGTGCCCACTGACAGAGTAGGGACACACGGGCTGAGGCCGCGCACGCAGGGCTGCTGCTCCGACTGGGCCTGTCACAGGGATTTCAGCTTCCCACCTGGCCCCGGCCTTCGCATGGACCGATCTGAGTCCAAAGAGCTCATGGGTCTGCTCCGGATTCTCATGCTCGGCGCTGGCCACGCTGCTCGTGGCGCTGAGGCCCGCCTGAAGTCACCCCCAAAGCTATGTCAATGCCTTTCAGGCAAAGGATCTGGCCTTGGACATGGGATCACGGCCTCACAAGGATTGCAAAGGCTGCTCTCGGGCTCAGTGGCCTGAGTCAATGACAGCTCTGAACTCGGTCTTGGCTCAAGGCTTCGCGAGCCACCACTGGTCGACTGGAGCTGCGCGACCTCGTGTTCGCATCTCTTCCACCAGTCCACAGCTTTGTGAGAACGCTCTTCTGCCATCCACTTGAGTCCCGAACAGCCGTGGCCATCTCCTCCCAAAGTTCGGAAGGACAGGAAGGAGCTCGCCACAATATGTGTAGGAGACTAGGCTATCGAGTCTAAACCGGGTGCAATCATCCAGGCCTTCTCTGCTTCTCGGAGCTCGCGGAAGTATGGGTCCTGAATGCAAAGCCCAAGACACATCTTGCAACAAATGTCATGTTGTGATTGTGTGACCCCGTCTGCCATGAAACTTGTCATTCTTTGGCATCTGAAGCATTTTGCAAGTATCTTCGCCGCACCTTCAGCGCCTGCCTTGCCAGGATGCGCTCATCAGGATCATACCTTCGGGTGAAAGTACTGTACATAAATTGGCATGCTGGGCAGCACACAAAGGCCAACAGTCGCTGCCTCACTAGCTTTTTCATGAGCTCGGTGAGCTCCGGGTCGGCATGAGGGATCAGACGCTCGATGCCGGTGCCCTGAAAGGGTTTAAGCCATCCGCACTCTCAGTCTCAACCGCAAGCCTCAAGATTAGGACTATCAGCAAGGGTTTCGGGGTATATTATACTATAACTATCATAAGGAACCCCCAAAACCCTATTCTAATTATTAAGGCCCCTAGGATCCCAGAAGCTCCACCCGGGCCTTCTTCTCGGGGAAGTTGAAATCCATGTGGGAGGCCTGGCCGGGCGCGACGGAATCTCCACAAGTCATCCCCCTCCCTCCACCGTGGTAAATTCCCTGAATCCCTAATGTAGGGGCCTTCATACCCCTAAAGATCCCTTCCTTAATACCCCTATAGATCCCTTCCTTAAAATCCCTATAGATCCCTTCAAGGAGCTGTACGCAGGGTCAATCCCCAAACTGCGGCTGGGCCCACGTTGCGCCGGAACTTCCTTGCAAGAAGCTCGGCAGGAGGAGTGCCCAGCACCTCAAAGCTTTCGGAGTATAGGTATAGTGCATGTATGTATACATAAACCAAATACTCGTTTAAGTACACGGCTATGTTACACAGATATATGTGTATATGAGCTCATATACACATCTCTGTTACAGTGGTAGCTTTAGCTGTTTTAGCTGTAGCTATACTTACTGGGCGGGACCCTGGATCACTTTTGGCCGTTCCTTCCAATCTCCAAGTATTTTCTGAGAAGGCGGTGGAAGCATCTCGGACCCGGGCATTGTGGATTTTCTGAAGCTGATCCTGAAGGGAAGAAACAGACACTTCCTCATGCCAGTTCTGAGCTGGACTCTTTCCGTAGTCCTGTGGCCAGTGGCGACATGGCTAAGACTCTGGCCATCTCATTTTGTCCAGGGAAGAGAGGGAACAAAGCCACGATCTCAAAACAAACGCCTCAGCAGGCTTCCCGACAACTACATTGTATGAACATCATCCACTCATTGTTTGACGAACATGCCTGCACAATATCAAACCCTCCGAGAGATTTGCGGAAGCTGAATGTCGGACGTCGAATGACGCCGAGACGACAAGCATACTCAAGGCGCCGGCAACCAGCTGCAAAAAGATCCATCTTGAAGTTATAGTACCCATCCTGGCCAGCTCATCTCGAGATTTTCGGAGCACCTCCCTTCGTTGCAGCTAAAGCGCCGTAAGCAGGCATTCCGGTGCACGGTACCACCTCAGTGAGCACGGCCGTGTTGTCGTGTTGCTGCACCTGGTGACTTGATTGCACTGGGATCTCCACCTGGTGGAGATGTACTCTGTGAACCTTGGCTGCACAAGAACGCAGAGAAGTTTCCGACGTACCACGTCAGCTTGCCGAGAGAATGCAAGCAGGTTGCGGCTGGCGAGAGTAGATGCCACGGCAACTGCCCAAGTCTGCCAGCTTGATCTCATCCTGATGCTAACGGCTCTGATCTCTTTCGCCGGGGCCAGGGCAGGGACAGGCTGGAATCTTGAGGCGTCGGCGTCGAGCAGCAGCAGATTTTCTGGCCTGGCCCAAACTGCAAGCAGTATACCAAGAAAAGAACCCCAAACATGTACACACCAGTATTCCAAGGAGCCCTAAACGCACCCACCAACACCCAAAACACCCAAGTGTAAACCGAACCTTAAGTGTCGATTCAAGCAGGCGGTGACACTTCACATCTCGATGAAAAATGCCGTTTCGATGCATGTGGTCCAATGCCTGGCAGGAGCCGCAATCACTTTGCACTCTCCGTCCTGCGCTGCGCAGTAGATGTGTCGTGCCTTCAGCATCTCGTACATGTAGTGTTTTACCTGACCGCGCAATCTCGTGCAGGTTATTTATGTTAGTACAGTAAGTTATGTGCTTAACACAATCCATTGGGGTTGCGGCTTTTTGTTCTGGCAAATAATGCCTTCGCCCTTTGATGGCTTCATAGAGGTTCATGTCCTCGGAGGCACACATATTTTTGCATCAGCGCGCTAGCCCTCTTCTCACTCGGGCCAAAGCCATGAGCTCGAAGACTAGGGCGAGCCTTCCTGTCGGCTCGTCGTAGAGGACCTTCAGCCCCGGATCCGGGCCATCTTGACCCCAAGTGACATCACCGTTGCTTGGGCAAATGGTCTCTCGTCCTTTTCCGTTTCGGCGCCGCAACAAACACTTGAGCCCACGAGGCATCTCCAGGGAAGCGAGTTATTGAGCAAGCGCCGCGCAACGTCCACGTGCTTCCCCCTTATAAACTGTAAATTCCAAAGCTTGAACGTGGAGGAAGTCAGCTTTACCTTCGGCAAGTCTTTCCTCCTTTGACCACGAAAGTCTCAGCACCTCCTCTACTACCTGCTACCGAATTCGCTGCACGCAGCATGGGCTAGAGCTGCAGCAACGGTGTCAGAGTTCCCATGACCACCACCTCGCTCCAGGCTGAAACTATACCCCCCCCCAAAAAAAAATGCAGCGTTGGTCTTGGCCGCCGGCTGATAAAACAATGGAGACCAGGGACCAAGGGACCTGCAGTCAGCGCGTTTTTTCCCCCTACTTTTCCAAAAAAAGAAACGGATTTTGCTGGCTGTCAGAAACAAAAGCCTCAGCCCCACCTCGTGGCTCTCGGTGTCCTGTCCTACTTTGGGCAGGATCGGCTCCTCACACAGCATAAGAGTGCCGGATTATTTGCTCTTCAGCCCAAGGGGGCTTTTTACATTCGTTGCTGCCGACAGTGATTCCAACAAACTGCCGAACATGTACTGTATAACATCGTCGGCTCACACTATTTGCAAGCTCAGCTTGGAACAGCAAGGGACGGCATCTAACCGTTGTGTTGGCTTTCTGCTTGTCTGCCCCGCCCACCCCCCCCCCGTCCTGCTCCGACTTGGCCGAGCCTGAATTCATTGCTACACAATTTCTTACCCTCATAGAAAGATGATGTTATATCCGGACATGTTTTGGCAGGGCTCAGTTTTCTTCACATTGCAGACCGAAGTTGTTGTGGCGAGCCAGGATTTACTTGGGCCCGCACTGCTGTCAGTGAGGTACCAGCACACACCGGTACATACCAGGATGAGTCCAAGAACCATGTACTCATTGAGCACCTGGGGCTTCTCACAATCAACATTTCTTCTCTTCCCTGCCCTTGCTTCTGGTTGAACTCTGGGTCCTGGACAGCTCCAGTCATCAAGGATGCGATGACCACAACGAAAACGTGCCTCAGATGTGGATAAATCCAGAATATTCAAAACATGCCCACCTTCAACTGGGGAAGTCTGTGAATTTAGATGATGCAGCTGCGACATGGCTTGTACTGTTTACAATTTTACACCATATTCACGCCTGCCCATTCCAAACCGTTGCTGTTTGCGCATTTCGCTATTTCTTGCGAATTGGATGGCGAGAGGGTGGCGGTGATGACAAAGACGATGGTGGCATGTGGCGGCTGTCGCGATGACGTATGCGGTGGCGACAGCGCTGGCGGTGATGATGATGATGATGATGATGATGATGGTGAGGTGGTGGTGGAAGATCACTGAAAATGTGAAATTGTCATTCTGCGACCGTTTCTATGATTTTCAGCATAGCAATGTTCTGGAATTTAGTGCCCTTTCTTTCTATTTGGTTGGGGGTTGTTCTTTGTTTACGGGCAAGACGGTCCAGTTTCCTGCAATTGAAAAGGCAGCAAATGGAAGCAATAAAGCAGTAGCAGCAGGCAGTAGCTGTAGATAGGTAGGTAGATAGCCAGCTAACTAGCAAGGCAGCCGGGAAGGTAGATGCGTAGATGTGTAGTTGGGTAGATCTGTGGATAATGGTTTGTAGATAGGTAGATACCAGTAAATAGATGGATCGGCAGGCAAACTCATGAAATCCCCGTGCTTCCGATGAATCGCAAGCCAGTCAAAACAACCTCGCGATTCGCCCCGCAACACGCAATCTCTGCCAAGCAACTTTAGAGCCACAAGCAGCGCATGCGTCTCAACCAGGAAGCAATTCCTCAGTTGCTCTGGTGGCTTAGTGTTGCTAAGGCATGCATTCAACTGGCATTTCCTACCCTCGTCGAGTTTCCGTGTCTCTCTTTTTACTCAACGGGTCCATAGGATGCAGCTTAGTCTTATAAAGACTCTTGAGCTCGAATCTCGTGTCTCATAGCTTTTACTGAATCTGACTCAGCGCAGAGAACATGCAAGTCGACGAGAAAACGCACACCTCGAACCAAAGCCTTCAAAGCCAAAGTCGTGTGCAACAGTGCCGCTCGAGTTGCAGAAGTAGCAAAGAGGAGCTCTGATACAAGAAGTAAGTCAACGCTGCCTCTGCACGAGCGAGTCGAACATGTCATCACAAAAAGCACGAATCCCAAATGCGCTGCTGCATGCCACATCTACTTGGGCCTAGGCGCCGTGAACCATGCACCGGGTCGATGGCACAGGTGCATGATTAAGCTGGTGGCGGCTTCGTGGTTCGGCAGCATTCGTCCCAGAAGCAACCAAAGGACAAGGAGCACCTTAGAGTGCCACAGGAACAGATTTTCGGGGGTAATAACATGCCAAAAAGGATCAGGAGTTTGATGCCCAGGGGCAGTTCCAGACTGTGTGGCCGAAACGGTGAGCTTCCCAAACGCCTTGAAAGCGGTCGAATGCAGGGTCAGAGTCCTGTAGGCACATTGGTACAGGACCATGCCTGGAGCGGGTGGTTGCTCTCGAAGACCAAGGCCTGACGACTTCACGGGGCTCATTGCAGTCATAGCAGATCTCAGGTTGCTGACTTGCCCTTGCGTCTGCACTGTGCCGTGCATCAAGCTCTGAGTCCCATCGACAAACCACCTGAGCAGCGGACCCTCTTCGCCACACAGGCTCGGCAGGAGAAGCCGATGTTGGCCAGCATCCCCATGCACATCGCAACATAGGCGCCGCCACTCTGCACCCTCAAATGCGTGACGGGGATATAAAACGGGACTGTGTCGGGCAGTCATGCACACTCCCAGGAGATTTTGCTGCCAAGAATCACGCTGGAGCCGCCATGAGCGGCCCACGCCGTTATCATAATGCCGCTGCAGGCCTGACTGGGCTGTGCAGAGAATCATCATGACTTCAGTGCCGAGCTGCAGAAGGCAGCAAGAAACGTCTCACAGCGCTTCCCCGTGGTTCAAGAAAAAGATGCAATGACAATCTTACGATCTTGAAGGCAAGTCGCAACAACGATTGCCAGAAACAGCTGCGGCTGGAAGCTCTGTCGCAGCACCGGTATCGCAAGCAGCGCGGTGCTCAGAGGCTCTATGGCCTTCACCACGAACACGATGCCTCAAAAGCATGTTGAAGTCACGCGCGAAACGTCTTGCGAGGAGCTGCAGGAAAGAGCCGCGTTTACCTTCATCAGATAGTCTACTATTGTATGTCCTCCGAAGTGCTGGGCGCGTCGAGAGCCAGTGCCGCCACGGTGAAAAGCTGACCGTAAAAATACCTCGGACCACTTCTGAGAGGGAGCGTAAGACAGCAACTCCGAGCTGTCATCCTGACCCTGTCGAGGTGCGCAGACCCGGCAAGCTGCCAAGTGCCGAAGCTCATACCTCTGGGCTCTGGGTTTCAACTTGCGACTTGCAGAAGGGATCTATTGATGCTCCCTTTCCTTCGCATCCACTCGTTCCTCATGGAGCGCGGCTCTTTGCCGTTGCAGGAGCGGTATCCTACGAAAACTCTGAACCGTAAGATTTCGGATGCAAGTCCCGCTGCTTGGTTGCTTTCAATTCGCAAGGCTGCCAGAAACTGCTCGCTGAATCAAAAACTGTAAAGGAGAGGCTCTTTCTGGCTGCAGGATCTTGACGGTACGGCTGAGTTTGTACTTCAGAGTTCATTGTTATTTATATTGGACTTAAGCAGCCATGCAGGCCAGGCGTTTGCATGACAAACTAGAAGCCAGGGCCCGCATCCGAGCTTTGGCTGACACGACTATACAGTGACATTGACTAGCAGCAACTAGCATCCATGCCCGGCGCGCAAAAAGCCTGAAATGCCGACCTCTGCCAGTTACCAGCGAAGGGAAGTCAAAACTTAATCCTGCCATGTGGCCGCTTTTGGAGCGCATGAAGGTTCCTTCACAGTGAGCATCGATCATTCCGCATCATATCAGAATGGACCAGACTGGAAACAAAACACCTTGTGAACCGTTCCTGCCCGCAAAGAGCTGTCAATTTGTGCCAGAGACGTACTCAGTTTTGACCTTTCGGGCAAGCTCGAAAAGCCCAGCCCAAAAACAACACGGATGGACGATGTACAAAGGTGCACCATCAACTGTCGAGCCAAACCCAATACCATTCCTGTTGCCCGGCCTTCAAAGATGTTGAGCCCTGCAAGCCACGCGAAGATCTGCACCAAGACATAGGTCAATGCCTGCTTTGGGCACAGGCTGGAAAATGCTCAAATGTCCCAGGTACTCCAATACCCCTCTATTAAGGAATATACCTCAAATCATATTAGGGATCCCACTATAGTTTAAGGTATCTTCCTTCATTAAGGGGTATTGGAGTCTCTGGGACGTCCTCATGATTTTCTTGAGCTGGCCTGTGGGACGTATGTCAGCCATATGCTCGTAGAGGGATAGACCAGCGCCGCGCCAAGCTCTGCCAAGATGTCCTGGCAAAGGTATAGTAGGATCCCTAATATGATTGAAGGTATATTCCTTAATTAAGGGGTATTGGAGTCTCTGGGTATGCTATTTCTCTTTCATTAAGACCCTCATGTTGCTATGTAACGTAGGTCTCTTGTAGTTGTGATCACTCAGCCCGAAACAATGCGTTAGCGTGAAGGAATTGGAAACTGCAAGTTGGCTCAAACATGTAACTCAAACATACCACTACACTACCCCCACTGTTCCGACAACAGCTTCTTTACAAAAATGTCTCTGTGTGTGTGTGTGTGTGATACATGTCTTGTCTCAACGTTATGTGACAGGTCATCGTCAGAACGGTATCAAGGGCAAGATTCCTTGGTCACCGCAGCCCAGACCGCGCTGGTCCAGTACCAAACCGCGGACAGCATGAGAATCCTTGGTGTGTTTTGTTTTGTCGAAAATCGCGGCTGCACTGCTACACCCCATTCCACCCCACCCATACATAATGGCAGTCGTGACGATACCATGCTTCAAGCGCCCGAATTTCTTGGCTTGGGCTTGCGTATCTCTGTCTCTGCCTGAACAAGTGGAAAAGCCAGGCCCAGCCCAATCAACTTGGGCAAGCGGCACAACAGCACTGCCCTTCGGGCGAAGGACATCCCGGAGGGCGAGAGCGATAACCTGATATCACCAGCTGCTTAGCACAAGCTCGGGCGTCCTGGTGAATCTTCCGATCAATCAAGAGTCAAAGGAGCTATTAGTAGTTCTATTCAACCAGACAAGTACCGTCACACGACGACCAGGACAGATCCCAGCTGCAAGCTAGGAGCAAGGAAGGAAGCGGCTAGGCCAACTCCTGTTTGGATTGAAATGGCCTGAGTTCCAAAACATCTTGACAAGAGTGCTGGGAGTCCACTCTGGGTTGAGCCGCGCGGCCATTCTCTGTATCGATGCCCTCTGGACGAAGGCAGAAGCTACGTAGTATAAATAGAGCGTGAATGCATGTTCGCTTGAGCCTCGCAACCGCAGCGGCTTGTCAAGGACGGCTGCATGGTAAAGCCGGTACAGTATTCCTGCGTTAACAAACGATTGCAGTGGCTGTCATTGCCATTCCGGCCTCGTGAAGCTTGATGATGTTGGGGTGTCCAGCTAACCTGCGTAGTGCCTCTGAAGGGTCGAGGAAGTCACGGGCGTGCGTGCTGGAAGCTACAAGGTACGGGCGATACATGCTGAAGAAGCGATGACAATCTGACTGGTCATGTTGCCCGATCAAGGATGCCCGCGGGCCTGGATTTCTCGCAAGTTGTTAACTTGGTCTATGCTGTCGAAATGGTTCTTCATGCCTCAGCCGTGGCAATCGAATAGCTTGTGCGGCATTACACTCGTTTCCAGATCATGCTTCATTCGAGACGTCCGAGACGGTTGCGCTACATGCATGCGGAGTTCCCCTATGAATACCACGCAAAAACCGTAGCTTTGCAGCCATGTCACATTTGATTGCTACATGCTTCCCCGACTTGATGGACTGCGCCTGGCCGTGGTAATAATCATGATGTGCTGGGCATTCTGAAGGAGCCAGCCGTGCCTTCAGCACCTCTGAGAAGGTGCCCTCGCCCTTCTTGGAAATCAGCCTAGGTAAGCCAAAGGGGCTTTGAAAGTCAGCTTGCGATCACATGGCAGATAAGCACCGCACCGGTACTTGTGCATGGTAGCAAGGAGGTGTCTCCTTTAGAGAGAATGCCTCCCGTTCGACTGCGAGCGCGCAACACTCAGCGTGCAAAAACGAGACACTTCTTGCGCCTTCCTTGCTTGGGCGTTAACCTCAGAACAGGCTAGCAAATCACAGCTCGTCGGGTAGCAGCCCATCAGTCAGAGCTGGATTGAAGCGAAGGATCGATCTAGGACGCCACAACGTGCTCGATCTCTGCGGCCACCGCAAACCGATCATCCAAGTCCTGAAACCTTAAGAGCCCTGAGATCCAGCACTCAACCCGAAGTTCAACCCCCAGGCCGAAAGAGAAATCTGAGCCGCGGGCAACGCATGCGGGCAGCAATCAGTCCCGCCTCTCTGCCCCGCATGGACAAAGGGGGGGGCAAAGGACCCTTGAAAGAGCCAGAACAGCACACGAGACAAGGGTCGCGAGCGTTGTGGACGGATGAGTCCCTGACTCTGTTGCAGCTGCTTCACTACAACCGGCACTTCAGGCTTCCGTTGGAGAAAAATGAGTCCCTCTGCGAAGCGGCATGCTTCCAGTACACTGGTCGAAACATGATGATGCGGCATGAACCTGACCTTGCATCCCTTTCGCTCAGCCAGTACCCTTTCAAGAGCAAGGATACATGTCACAAGTCGTCGCAAGTCAAAACTGTAAAATGTTGAAATGCTTCAAAAGGCTACTTCGCACTATTCTGGCCAACGGACACTTAAAGGAGAACTTTGGGCGATTACGGTCCTGGGCAGGACAGCTCCCTGTCCACATTCCTTCTCCATGAGGGCTTTTTCGAGTCGCAGTGCCCGGGCAAACTTCTTTGGTCTGGCTCCGTGCAGCTGACAATGTCACCTCCAGCAAACATGCAAAGCGCCGCCGGATGGCTTCCAACCCACTTCTGGTACTACGGACACATCCATGGAGGCATGCCTGGAATCTGCGGCAGCTTCGCGGAGGACCCACGCAGGGACTGCAAGCCTGCTGTTGTCCATGCCCATGGGCTGCCGCATTGCAAGGACAAGTGTCTGTCTGATGAGTGCATCGCCGTCGGAGATTTCTTGACATCCGGGAAAGCCGGAATCTGCCTGGGACAAAAGGCAGGCGCTCACTAGCCATGCACTGCCAGGCTGCCTAGTCTGCACCCCGAAATACATGCCATACAATCCCATACCCGCACACCACCGAGTAAGCTCGCCTCTTTTCGGAAGGCGAATGCCACGTACAAGCCAGAAGCTTCTCGTTGTTCGGAAGCCTGCGCTCTGCACGGGCAAATGTTGTGTGAAATTATTCGAAACGGTCCAGTCCGAGCAGTACAGTGATGCTACCATCAAGGTGTGCACAGAACGACTCTGCATGGCCTCATCGGTATCCAAAGCCATACCACCTGCAAGCACTCCACCAACCCATGCACAGCCCACTCACCCAACTGGCTTCCTTGTGTCAGCCTTCAAAGGCGTAGATGCGCCGCAAACGGCCCAGTTCCGCCTGCGCTCGAATAGCACGATCTGCTCGACCCGATACATGCCGTGCGGAGCCTTCATGTTGTTCGTATCCACAAAATCTGTCAACGGCGTCGGCCCCAAGCACAGGTGCAAGCCCTGATGGCAGGTCTGCTGTATCTCACGACCACATCATCTAAAGAACCTAGACTGGATCCAGACTCTAATTAAACTAAACCAGTCAGCATTAAGCCACGGACCCTGCTACTTTCCATGCACGCATGCCTAACCGCTGCTTCGGCACGTGTCGCTTTGCCAAGGCGATGAAGCTTGGAAAATGCACCAACGGTTCTGGGCACGCCTCGTCATGAGCTTTGACATCGGAAATCAGAAAGTGTTCAGTACATGGACCTCCGCTTAGCGACCCTCTCTGGCAAACCAAGCCTCGACCGCATCTGCTAAGTGAAACCTTGGCCGGTCACTGACCCGGCAGCGTCTCCAACACTTCGGAGCAGCGCATTGCTTGCCAATGCTTGCCAATGCTTGCAAGCGGCGTGTACATCACTCCGAAGGCACGCGAGTCCACCTCCGAGGCACCATCTTGGTGCCACAGGTCCGGCGCTGCTTCGACCTTCTTCCACTCCTGCCAGAAGTTCGGGCTCGCATGGCAAAGAAACACTGAACGCCGTTTTCAGGGCCTCCTTGCTGAAGTCGATCCGGAAAAGTCTGTTGCCAATGCTTCGAGGATCGTTCCCCTGTAGTCAACTCGGGACAAGCAGACTCCCGAACTACCTCGTGCAAGGCTGGCCAACAAGAAGAAACCTTTTGGACTCGCATCTGTTTCCGCTGCCATCCTGAGGCCCTCGCCACGCCACGGGCGCGCTCGAGCGAAACGATTCTGCACGCAGGCGACACCGTGACAGCACTCCAAGGCGGCCACTGCATGCAGAACTTGCCAAAGTGCGCCTTGACGAATTTGGGACCGTTCCGACAAAATAGCCGCCACGGCACAAACGAGATGAGGCCTGGTTCTCACGAAAAGCAGGCACGGCAAGTTTGCTGAAGCACTCGGCAACATCTGAATGTGCGGTTTAGCCACGTTCTGCAGCATCACATCCACAGATGCCTGGCAAGCTTGGGTGATACAAAACAGTGTCGAGTCTACTTCATCGCCACGTCCCTCCTTGTCCGAGTGTTTGAGAAACATACAAAAATATGTCCCTCACACAGATGTGGGCTTGCCTGACTTTGGAACGCGTAGTGGCAAGCCTCAGCACAAACTCACCCTTGACGGTTGCGCTTCAATTTGCTGACCGTCCCGCCCCCCCCCCCGCCCCGCGGACACCCCCACACTCACACATACAGTTTCAAAACACCGGAGATTCGGTCCTGATGCTGCAACCATGCCAATTTTTGCAACGGACGCTGCAACACGTGGGAAAGAGCACACAAGTTCATTATCAGCACGCTTCCGGCTCCGAACCTTCAAGGCAAAACCAGCTCATTCTCGGCCCGCGGCCATCTGGGAAGTGACCAGATGAAACCTTCGGGAAGCATCCCTTGCGCAATAAAGTGCTAGCAACGAGCAGTAAAGTGCTATAGCAATGAGTGGCGAGCCAAGTCTTCCCCATTGAGTCCAATCGGGCGGTCCCATGCCTGACTGGTTCTGTCAAACAGCGCTGCCTCACACTCCCTTTCAGCTCTTGCCTAGCGCTGCAATCCCAGGCTGGCTCCAGCCTGACATTTTGCTCTATCCTCTGATTGCGCAGTCATCTTCACAACCGCCGAGAAACCGCTGCTGCCAGCAGTCCGCGTGGACCAAGGAAACCTTGGCTCAACATTACCCCTTTCAGGAAGAACGTACGGCAGAAAAATGAAGAACGAACGAACTTTGTGACTCCCGCCTCCACAAGTGGGCACCCTCGAACACGGCCGAGGGATCCGTGCCTGAGATCGGACTCGAAGCAGCACGGGACACAGGACAACTGGTGACGGCTCTGCAACGCCATGACAATGAATTCCCTGCCGACTTGCTGCAGCCTTCTGGCCGGAGATTTCACTGAAGCTGAAAATCAAATCATCTCGACACACGTTGCTGGACCCTGGTAGCAGCTGTTAGCACACAGTGCTGCCGTGCAAGGGCGAGGCTTGGCGGCTGCAAGTTTCTGCTGGAGCTCCTGCACTCGTCGAACCAGGACCTTGCGCTGAGGGGGTGAGACCGGTAAGCCCCGATCCTGCTAAAAGCCAATGAAAGCTACACCCGCCACATGAGAATCCACAACTCTGTCAACTTTCAACCTGCGGTTTGTCACCTCAAGCGCAAGAATCGCCAAGCCCTCTTGCGCCCTCGTTCTCGCCTCCAGCGAGCTAAAGGAAACGTCCACGCCACAATACACCGTCACACCTCGGGACTGTGGGAGAGATTTGAGTTCGGATCCGGAGTCCAAGCTGGGAGGGCCTTTGCAGACTACGGATTTCGGGACGCCGGTCTACAAACCATGGCGCTCGATGGCTGTGTTCTGGCTTTGCCTACAGCTGCCTGCGATCGAAACAGGACGAACCAGGCATGGAATCGATCTTCTGTCTTCTCCCTCTCCGCTCCAGGGCGCGAGCCGGAGTTGATGAGCTTCTTCACGTCTCCGCCCTTGCCTTGGGTAGATGGGTAGGAAGTTGTTGTGCACTCACCGCTGTTTTTCTTGGTCGAAATGTGAAGCTGGACAAGGTGGAGACCGAGCCTCAATGCCTAGTGCAGCAGGGCCGCCACAGCCCAAGTCCAGCACAGAAATCTGAGGATCTTCCCCGCGAACCTGATCAAGGAAGCACACACCGCCAGGCAGATATTCGTTGAGGAATTCTAGACCGCCATCTCCGTGCACTGAGGCCTCCCGGAGCACCTTGCTCAGGAACTGCTCCAAAAGACCAGCCTGACGATTGGGACTTGGGAAGCAAAGCAGACCATAGCATATCAAATTATATTACAATTTATTACATCACAGTCAGCATCGAATCATAGGACTTAGGACCTGGCCTTGGCAAAAGAGTTAAAGTTCCTCAGTCGCACGGTCGGCGACAGAAGCCGCTGCTGCATAGACCTCAAGGCATGTCTCGTCTTCATACCCACACGAAGCAAGGCACGCGGCGATAAGCACGCTCATGACACCTTTCATCCATCCCTGAGGAGCCACACTGCGGTGCCAAAGCATCATAGTGTGTGCGCGGGTCTTGGAACACACGGCCTCCATGCAAAAGCGGCATCCTAAGTGGTCTTTGGGGCTGAGGAGCGATCAGCGTGTCCCTGCTGATGGGGCTACACGGATGGCTCATAAAGCAGTGCTGCGCGCTGGTGTACGAAGTTGCTGCAACGATAGCCATTAACTCGAAGTTCCCATCCTTGCTATGATGTCCGTACGGAAATAGTCTTCGGATCTTGTCCGTCTTCTTGCTGTTGCTGTCGATCCTGCTGTTGAAGATGGAACTGCGGTGATGGTGGCTGCTTTTACCTCAATTTCGGTTGCTGTTGGTGCTGGCGGCACCCACTCTCGGATAAGGCAGGCGAGGCTCCTTGATGTTGGTAGATATTTCTTGTTCTTCCCGGCTTCCATTGCTCTGGATGGTTGTCGCTTCTCCATGCAATTACACCCAATGCTTTGCTTACCTTAGCACCCGCGATCCATGGTCCAATGGCCTGCTTCCTCCACCGGCTCCTGCCAAACAGCTGCGAGTGAAACTCGGATGTTCCGGCGGCAGACTCTGCAAATTCGGCGGCGGGCTTGGTCCTGCTCATCGCTGAAGTCGTCTGCCAAGTCCTTTGGGCAATAATTTGACGCACCACCCCATCCTCGAACCGCCATGCATAGAGTGCTCGCCGTTGCAATCGCCATGTTTGCCGAGTGGGCCCACTGCATTGAGGTCGCAAGTCACATGCCACCTGCCTAGGTCAATCCTCTGCGTCACACCGCTAGGTGGGGCAAAGAGATGAGGTACGCTAGCAGGCTTTTGTCAGCTGATTTAAGCTGTTATGCACAGATTAAAGTGGAACATCGCTAGCGAACCTGCCGGCTCTACTCCTCCGCCTGATGCTTGTACTGACCCGTTGCTGTCCTGCTGGCTGTCCCAGCTGTTCTCTGCCTGCTTGGATGCAGCTCGACTCTTCCCTGACATGCCAGATCCTGCCTGAAGCAACCGATTCCACACGACTGGGTGTACTGTGCTCGGAGGAGCCTTGCCAGTGGCGGTTGCGAATCCGGACGAGACACTTGTGCCCGGCCTTGCCCCCAGACTTCAGGATGCTCCGGATCTTCCTGGCGCCAGAAGAAGCACGCTTCCGGCGGTCCCAACCCAAGAGGAGAAAGCTCGGACAGGGCTGCGAGGAGCTCAGCCCCTCCACCAAATCCCGATATGGTGCCACCTGCTGAAGACTTGCTCGAGTTTGCTGCTTAACAAGTTTAGGCATGCATTGCTCTCGGGCGCACCTGAACCCAGCTCCGCAACTTCTCCGGCACCATTTGCAGAATTGTCGACTCATCTTGACCGCGAGGGAAGACCTTCGCGGAACCCCAGCTCCAACCCTGGAAGGATATCAGAGGCCTCAGAATCCCGGACAAAAGCTGAGTGCGAAAATTGCTGGCCTCAGCTTTCTGAACAAGTTGCTGAGCCAAGGTACGATTAGTCGGCGCGGCTTCGTCTGCAGTTGGAAGATGCCGGAGTTCCGGTGCTTGCCTGAAGCCTCTGAGTGTTATGCGTGTACATAAATGTATGTGCATAACATAAACTATGGATCCATACATGTGGACACATAGATAAACAAATATAGAATAAGAAAGTATATATATATACACATATATATAATACATATACATTATACATATTAATATACATATACACAGGTTTCGTACTGACTTTTATATATGTATGCACATATACTGGGATAGAATAACGAATGACATATCACCATACAGCTGGGTAAGACTATGTACACTGTACTCTCTACTGTGCATCTTTCTACTATACACATATTTGCAGTAGAAAAGTACGGGTATGCATGTATGCATGGCTGGGAAATCGCAGAACTCATGGGTTGACGAACTCGGATGCAAGCAACGACTGCAAAGATGCGCTTCGTCCTTGGCTTCTGGGATACGGACCTGCTTCAATGACTTCGTGAAGGAGTCCTGACATTGCAGAAGCAGTCGTGCACTGCAGCTCGCAAAGGACGCATGGCCCCTGCGGCCGGATTTGCTGTGAGAAATTGAGGGTGTCAAAGCGGTCTTCTGCCTGCCGCCCAGCAAGGACTGGGCCCGCATTGCAGGGTGCTGAGGTCGCTTCCCCTTTTGGGTTCTTAGGCAGCCTTGGTAGCAAACGCCCCTCAACCTGGCGACTCGTCTCAGGGTCGTTGGGATTGTGATCGCAGGTCTTACTTGAATTTGCCCTGCACCACAACATACACAGCAACCTTTCAAGCAACCTGAAACTGAGTTCGATCGAGACATCCTAGAGCTGGCTTTGGGGAAGACCCGGGACAAGGCTTGTTGTGTGCACGGTCAGCCACTCTGGCCAAACCTACCAGGCAACCCGCATCAACCCGCGGTGATGATTCGGTTCCTGCTTGGGGTCCGGAGTCGCCAACCGTTACAAACTGTGGTCTTAAGCTTAGCACAAAGAGCTTTTGGTGAAGCCGCCGAAGCACGCAAGGCCGTCTGTGCAGCATGCTGGGCAAGGCACAGAGCTCCATCGGACTCCATCAGTGTGCGGCTTACGGTCTTGCCGTGGGGCAAGGAAGTTGGGCCCCTGAACCTGCGCTCTTTGGTTTGTCGAAGACAGCCGCTCACAAGACATTGAACGAGAATGGGCCGAATCAAACCGTTGGGATGCCACGGAATCCTGACGCACGAGGGAGCTTTCAGGCTTCCTCACGCTGACGCCACCATCAGCTGTGGTGAACTTTGCACAAAACACTTGGGTCGTTGGCCTTCCTTCCGGCGACATGGCATCCTCTCTTAGCGGCCAAACGTCTACATTGACCTAAACCACTGTTCTGCTGCGTTCCGAAAATGTCTTCAGGCAATGTAACCTTCGATTGCTCAATGATCCCAATCTTCCGTCGCAATCAACGACATCCAACACCAGAGCTGGATCATCTGACAAAACCTTCCGTTCATCAGATCGGCCAAAAGGCTCTCCAACGGCTGTCCAGCATGTGCTGTAGCTCGACCAAAAGTGGCAGCCACACTGTTTTGTGAGTAGAAAACCTCCGACACTGCCACCGTCCGTCGTTCTGCCACTGCACGACTCCGGCCGTTGCGTGCTTCACACGGAGCACGACAAATTCATCTTCAACAGTAGCCGGGGCAGGTCGTAGCCCTGGAGAGTAGGGATCTTTCTCACAGAGGTCAGAAAGAACACTACTCTCTCCAGGCTACGCGGTCGAGCAACTTCCGCGGAGGTGTTCGGACCAAACAAAGAAAGGCATAGCCCAGCTTTTGAGAGCCCTCTACAGTGAAGCCAATATAAACACGGCTGCGCCGACGTTCTGAGGCATACATGGTATGCCTTTTTCCTCGCAATCCTGACTGTCCTGTTGCAGAATCTGCAACAGGACAGTCAGGATTGCGAGGAAAAAGGCATACCATGCATGCTGACAGCCGCAGGTGCGCATGACCAATGAAATCGAGGTACGAATCTGTGATCCTTTTGTGGATCCTGGCCAAGGCTATTTCCAAGTGGCTCAGGCAAGGGTGCGGTTCTGCATCCCACGCTAGCCCATCAGGTAATTAGCACTTTAGGAACCTTGGCTGACATATCAGCATGCGCGGTGGAACCGCCTGGCACAAAGAGATGGGCACCACAAGACGCCAAGGCGGTGCTGCGGTACTCCCTGCAGCGGCTGCTAACCAGCTTCCATTCAGCCTTACCAGGTTTCCACATGTGGATGCTGACAGCTTCTCGGTACGAGGAGGACGTGAGCACAAAGACACGTCCACAGGAACCACATGTTAGTCCCAGCACCGTTGGCCACTTCTGAGTTTGTCTTCCAACTCCCTCTCTCGGCTTGGGAAAGGCACGGGAACGGAGAGGAAGTGCTCACAGAAGTGTTCATGTGGATGGACCAGAAAGAGGTACCTGCAATCACGAAAATGAGGTCGCTTTTCACAGTAGCTTTTACGGTCTCTGTGACAACTTCTGGTCGTGCCTGACTCGGCACTGTGATTCTGGCAAACTCTTCCGTTTCAGTCGAAAAAGGAATGAAGAGTGAAGCAGCTGCAACCAGAGCAGTGGCAACCCACCATTGATGACTGCCCAAAACGCTGGCTGGGCCACATGCACGCACAGTGAAACTAGTGCGAGGAGCATAGCCCACGCGGCAACCACGAAATATCGAAACGACGACACACGACTGCACTCGTCACACCACTGCAGAAAACAAGCGAAGATGATAGCACACGACGCGCGCAACATGTCACATGGGCCCTCGAACTTAACAGCTGTACAGAGCATTTAGCAGCTGTTATCGGCAGGCCTCGCCCAAGAGAAGAGCAACTCTTGCTGTCGCCTCGGCCGGGGCCCGATGTCTGATCTAAAGGACCTGGTACTACCTCACCTTTCGATTTTTTGGTATGTTAGTCTCATGTTTGCCTGCTTCGGCGTGTTGATCTGCCACCCTGCGGTGTGCTGCGATCTGTGTGGAAAGGCTATACTCCAAGGCTCGAGCTCTGCTGTTGGCCAGCTCATGCAGCTCCAAAGACTGCGCCACTTTCTCGCCTCAAAGCGAACCATTCCATGTTTGACGCTGGAATATAGTAACCGTTTTCGAAACCCCCTATAGGACCCTTTAAGGAAAACAGCTCCCGTGGCAGCTCCTGGAGCTGGACTCGAACAGCCTGAGAAGTCCGAGAGGCGCTGGGGCCAGTTGTTTGCGCCGGCCTCCGCTCGCACCAGCACCTCTCCTGCCAAGGCATGCCCGCCATCCGCAGACCAGGTGCTGACCCCTTCAGTAGAAAGGTCCTGGCTCGATGTCATGTGCGGCCTCCGCTGCCTTCAGTCGCTCCTGGCGAAAAGAGAGCTGGTGTGAGGGTGGCGACTGCTTCACTGGAAAGAGGCTAACGGCTGGTTATCTGAGCCGCCTCGATGCAGCGAATGCGTTCCACGAGCGGCGAGCAGCTCGGTTTGTACGGATTGCCTCTCATCCACCAACTATTTCTGGAGTTCAGAGGAGTTCGGAAGAAACCTGCAAAAGAATTCCTGAGGGCCCAACCTCCCTGATTCGGTACAAGCCTCGGCCATTCTCGTTGAGTTAGCAGGCGTGTTCAAAATATCTTACCCTGTTCGTCCCCGGTAACAATTTGATGTGACGAAGAATGCCGATATCTTCTTCCCACACCGCTTGATTAGACACATGTATTGGACTGTCGCGGAATGCGCTCGTATGCGGAATTGTGCCATTAAGACCGTTCTGCGGAGGAACGAGGCAAACCGAGATTTTCCCAATGGCACCGTTCGAATCTCGGAATTGCAACGACTTATCTATCATGCCACCGTTGGATCGCCACCGCCAAACAAGATGTGCGTTGATGCATGCCAGATCATGCCGTAGGGACTTGAATCGTGGGATGTTGCAGGCGACGACGATGATCAAAGGATGCATAGACGGCGAGCACCCCGAATACTACCCCGAAACTGCCGTCCGATACGACCACGGTGAAAATGACGAGAGCATACTTCTGTTCTGGAGAAACCAGAGAGCCAGAGAGGTGACAGGTCATGACACCGAGAACAGCTCCAAGGGATGACAGTCATGCTTGTGAGACTGGCTAACACTTCCCATGCATCGTGTGAACCGTCTTTGGGATTCAACTGGGGACCGAACACCACACGACGAGCCCCACATCGTCTCAAAGCCTGGCAGCACGAGCTGACCCACACTCTCCTGTGATGACCCCGCACAACACGAAGCAGACTGATGCCAAATCTTAGGGTTTAGGATGCCAAATCTCAGAGTAGCAAAGCCAACGATCACCCCTAGTGCCACCGGGGTTGATGCACACAGCACCAATCGGAAGTGATTCTCGTGCAGCGGGTCAAACCTTACCATCTGGTCTCTCCGAACCTAGAGATGACAAGCAGAAAATCAGATCTGAGCAGCTGGCGTCCCGAAATAAACGCCCACCTTGCCGGTCTGCGCAAGGACAGGCATTTGCATGTGCAGCCGTCACGGCTCAGCAGAACACATCCGACTCTCAGCCCGGGACAATCTCTCGATGCTCGGGGCCGCAGTAGAGATACGGCCTCGGCGGACTCCGAAAGCGGAAAAGGAGAAGATCCCAGCATTGAAGCCCAGCCGGAAGTCATGCAGCTTATGCCCAAATGGCAGAGCACATCCTGTTCCGAGGGACAGTTGCGGGATGCATGCAGCGTCTCTTTTGATCGATGGAAGCCTTTGCCGTGAGCAGGCTTGCGCGGAGGCCTGAAACGTTGACAGAAACAAGGACACTGGATGTGACTCAGTATCATCTAGGTAAATGCGTCTTGAAAGGTCCTGTTTATGTGCACGAGGCCGGGAGAATGTATCTTTGACGGCTTGCCGGTCTTTGCGGGATCACCAACCCTTTCACAAGCACCGCTGGCATGTGCCACCAAGCAGCACCGCCGCTGGTCGCTCCTGGCGCTCACAGGAATATCAAGATGAATCTGTAATGGCCGCATCACGTGCATGTGCGACCATTGAGGCTAATTAAATGCGTCCCCTCTTGTGGAATCTCATGAGCGGAGAGCTGATGCCTATTCTTGGGTTTAAGGATGCCTGCCGATAAGTCAACTCAATAACACGCTGCAAAACCCGCGCCGAACTAGCAGAAGCAGAAGAAGCGGCGCTACCGGGAGTGGCAGCATGGTGATGATGGATTTCCTGGTGTTTTTGGTGTCGTGGTGGTGGTAGGGTAGTGGTGGCATGGGCGGTAGTGGTGGTAGTAGTCAGAGTCGCAGGAGTAGCAGTAGCAGCATATTGTAGCAACAGCAGCAGCAGCGGTAGCAGCAAAAGCTTTTGTGCCAGTGGTCCTTGATTGATCACTTGAAATTTCTACGAGCACTACTAAGCATCGCATCCGGTCAGACTGCCATCGAGTTGCCATGCTCAGTCGCTGCCGCTCCACCTCAAAGCATACCAGATGTCAAAGCTGCAGGCTGCGAGTCGTCCCAGAACATCCAAGACAAGCCGGCATTAATTGAGTTGGACGGAAATTGACAGACCGTCGTTCCCACCTGTGTGTCATGCGCTACAGTCGCTACAGACTAGCCCAGCTAGCCCCGCAACTTTACAAGGCATTCCAGAGCACGGCGCCACCAAGGCATCCAGAGTGCCTTTGTTCCCCCTCCAAACAACTTGCCGAGCGGCGTCCGTGCTCAAGGGCGCTCTCCGGCTGCCTGGAAAGCGGCGCCTGGTCGGGGGCATATTCCTTCTGGCTGCATCTTTTTGCTTCAACTATGCTCGTTTGGGGGCCTGCGCCGAATGGGGTCCGAACAACTTTGAGTTTATGCATCGAGCGTCATTGAGGATTATACGGCCCTTGCCCTTGGACAGCCCTGGTGCACCAAGCTGTCACCTTGACGGAGCATTCAAAGCAAAAATTCAAGAGATCTGAGCCCAGGGACTGCTGATTGAACTCGAAGAAGTCCACACCGTCTTGCGCGAGCACGAACCTGGGCAAGACGGGCTTTGATTTCGACTCGCAGACTCGCACTGCTTATGCTTACGTTCCTGTGTAGCATGACCAGACATGGGGTGAAGCCGAGGTTGCAGGCAAGAGTCCTCTGAATGGTGTTCACCTCCTCGGTCCTGTCAGAAACGATGTTTTCCCTCTCGCATGGCTGAGATCTATGCTCGCTGGCGAGGCTTCTTTGGCGAACCGAGGTTACATGCACCCAGCACGAACCTTTCTGAGTGTTGATCGCTGACTGCCCCCGCTTCGAGTTGCAGGTTATCGCGATGAAGCCCGATCCTGTGCGTTGCAAAGACGATCTGCCCAGGATCGACCTGAAGCAATTGACGAAAGGGCCAGGGACAGCAGAGTTTTCGCATTCTCTGATGGAGACCGCGTAGATCAAAGAGCTCAGGGTGGCGCCGCGAAAATTTCGGCTGTGAGGCCAGCGGTTTCGAGCATCGTGGCCCAAAGCCTCGCCAGCCGATCCGTTCCGACCCTGCCTCGGCGGGATGGAAAAATCTGGAGATCTCGATGCCCAGAGCTGGACTCTTGGATTCCAAGCTGCCTTGCTTCTGTGTCCAGTCCTTGCTGCAGTACGACCATAGAGCTCAGAGATCGCACGGCTTCTCGAACATTCACCATGCAAGTCTGAAGTGCCCAGCCATGGGTCCAGAGTCATTGTGGCAAACCTAAGTAGGCACGGCGAGCCGCCAAGTCAGAAGTTCAAAGGACTGCAAAGATACCCAAACAACACCTCCACCGCCTTCTTGTTCGGCCGAGCTTCGACATGGATGCGGCTCCAGCTGATGTCGAAAAGGCTTCCGGCTTACTCTCAAACTCCTCTGGCGATAGCGAGGGTCGAGTCCTGCGCTCCTGAGTCTCAACTTCAGAAAGGAAACCGGCCTCCTACTGCGACTTCTGATATATGTTTGGAATCCGTTCAGGAATGTCCGTGAAACGACTCCGAGAACAGTTCTGAGACAAAGATCGCGCTCATCCCGCAAATGCTCCAGGAAGCCAACCGGTACCTTCGATGGCGGCAAGGGCGAATTGTGCAAGTCGTGCTGCTCTTTGTGCAAAGCGCGTAACATTCTTGCACCCATGTACAAGCAAGCACCAGCTATTCTAAGCCATTCTAAGCATGAGTCACGACACATCAGATTCCATGTCGCTCAGGTCGCCCACTTCTAAATCTCGGATGTCCGCATCAGCATCCTAAGAATCCGACAAGGGATTCGTGCCAAGGACATCCCTTCCAGCGGCAGAGCGGAAGTTGAAACAGCATTGCTGGCACATGGATTTTAAAAGCTCCGAAGCTTCCACGATCAAGTAGTAGCGCAGCGGGCTCTCGTACAGCGCCAGCGACGGAGCCACCATGATGGGAGAGAGCCCGCGCAGCATGCTTATGGCAGATGTTCTCAAAACTCGTCAGCTAACTTCGCAGGATCTGGTGCAGTCGGACGTCCCGGGTGGCATCATCCACTTACGATTTGTGAGTAGTCAACTTGTCGACATCTATCAGCAGCTTCATCACAGAGAAATACCAGTAGGACCGTACGGCTTCTGACTTGAGCTTGACTATGCTCGCCACAGAGTTGCAAGTCTTTGGGCCCATTCATATTGTGAGAACAGTGAGCTCCTCCCTAACCAAATTCTGCCCTGCTGCCCACCCATGCACAAATTTTGGAGGATACTGCGTCGCCTAACATGACCGGCACTGACTGTTGCAGCGCTTCCTAAATCGAAATGGCCATTGTCGCCAAGAACACCACAATGCTGGTGAGATCCAGCTTTTGTGTAGACACTGGCCGAACCAACTCTGCTTCCATCCATGCGCGTACAGCCCAAGCTGTAAAGCATCAAAGGCTTAAGCGGAACCGATTCACAGGTTAGCATCGAGCAAGTACTTAGAGGTACAGGCGGAGACGGGGCTTGCTCAGTGCTATCATTACTAACAGAACACAGCAGCGGTATCGGCCAGCATTGAGATCACTACAACACCAGCGGGGTTAGAACTCCAGCCGCTGCACGGATGGGATTGAACGGGCACAGCTCCACATCTGGAAAACGGTGTAGCAGCTTAGCAGTGTAGCCGGCTTCCTTGAGTTATATACAACGCTTTCCCTTCAGTCAGCACGAGTCCTGCACAGTGCTCCCGACCCCCTGTATGCGCGCCTTCTGTAAGAAGCCATTGCTTGTATGGCCCAGCTATACTATTTTGGGGGCTCCTGATTATGAATAGAATATAAGATGCCCCAAAACCTATTCTAATTATTAACTAAGGCCCCTATATTACCCAAAAGGCCCCTACATTACCCAAAAGGGCCCTATGTTACCCAAAAACCATCTTTGCCAGTCCTTCTACCGGCTCCAGCCCTGGAAGGGATCATCGGAGCTGGAAGGCTGTGGCAGAGATCCTCGCAACCAAAATTTGGGTTTAGGGTTTAGGGTTTAGGGTTTAGGGTTTTGGGGAGTTCTCTGAAGTTAGGGTCCCTTCTGGGGTCCTTTTGAGAAGGGTGCCGTACTATAATGGGGACCTAAAAAGGGACCCTAACTTGGAGAACTTCGCTTTTAGCGGCTGAGCTTTTTCTGATTCTCGACTTCCGGGATGCTAGCGTTCTCAGCATTTCTAGTCAGGGAAGGCAAAGGCCATGTGAGGCTCTGAGCTTGTTCCACCGAGCCATGCGGTAATGTCCAAGAAGATGGGCAGGAGGCGGGGGCGAGATTGCCAGAGCTCCGGCTCTGTTCAAACGCCGCAGAAAGCCATCAGGAACAGCTACAGTAGGAACATCAAGAAACTTAGCGGATCCGAAAGAGGCCGAAGGTAAGCGCACATCATGTCAGCAATGGCCCCGAACAAGTGTTGGGAGTTTGGGCTCGACAAACCGACGGTCCCGTCCGGCCTTGTTGAAGCGCAGCCAGCCCTCCGGCCAGCACGTGGCCCAGTGCCGAGTTTGACACGGCCAGCAAAGTGAAGACGTCCAGGTTGATGCCTCGTCGAAACGTAGGAGAGCTATCAACAGGCAAGGATTGAACAACAAAAACACGGCGCTTGAGCACCCTTCACCTCAAATGATTTGCTACTGGTAGCAGGTGGTTTACCTGGAGATCTGAATGCAGAAACGGCTGTCTGCAACATCCCCGATCGAGCTTGACTTTCTCCCCCGTTGAGTCTTCGGGATAAACATCCAACCCACCGCGCCTGGGGATTGTGAGAAGCCTCCAGATGTTGCCAGCACCTTGAGCAAATCAGAGTGGAAAAATGCAAAATCCGTGGCACTTCCTTCTGGTCTGGTGCGTCCCGGTGCCCGGTGCCTTCCCCACCATGAGGCCCACCATGGTCTGCAGGCCGACCACGGCAAAAAAGGCACCCAGCCATGCCGTGCGCTGGCGTGCTCGCAGCGTCGTCTCAATAGCAACCAGCGAGGGCAACCTGTGCAACATGGAGACCCAGGCAGTTATAAGGCCAGTTATGTGCTTCTTCAACACGAGACGGGGCCTGGACCTGGATGCCTTGCAGACCCTGCTTGGACATTGAGAGATTTAATGATAATGCACAGCTCATGCAACTCTTGAGCCGGGCAGCGTTGCAGCCATTTGGGCTGCAGGTGGCACCTGAGCTTCACAGCTTCTGCAAGGCTGAACCAGGCCATGGCTTACCGACCGCAGTAGGCGAGCCTAAAACGGGTGAAGCTTCGAACACTTCCACCACTGCAGAAAGGAAAGATGCATCTAACCGAAGCTTGGATAGCTTGGCAGAAGTCCTGGGTGCGCCTCAAGCCCTGACTAATCTGCTCCGCAGAAGCTACAAACCAAGAAACAGCCCTCCGCTGCTCAAAAAAAAATCAAGCTTTCGCCAGGGCGACTGGCCCATTCGGCTCCAGAGATCCCGCCGCCAAGCCGCAGCGACGCCCTAAGGTCCTGCCAGGGCAGGGCCCAGGCTAAGGCCTGGGCTCTTCTGTGGGTGTCTGGCCTAAGGAATCTTTGCGCATCCCGTGCCTGCAGCTGCGGGCCTGGAACCAGCCGATCAGGGAGCAAACCTCTGCAAGTTTTACGCCGCTGCATGAACTAGTCGTGCGATGTGGGTTTTCGGTCAGTCTTCTCGGGTTCCGTCGCGTGAAAGCCGATCACAGAAGCTGAAGTCTGCAAGAAAGTTAGAGACAGACGCCAAAAGACGGCCAAAGCTACAGAGAGCGAGAGCGAGAGAGAGAGAGAGAGTGAGCACGAGAGGAGAAATGGACAGACAGACAGAAAGGCAGCGGGACGGAGAAGGTGCAGCTGCAGAGAGTCCAGAGACCTACCGTGCAAAGATTTCATATCTCTCCGCACTCCGTCCAAGCAGCAACGGAGAGGCCCACTGAGGTCAGCCCGAGGCCCATGGAGCTCTGAAACGCTCGAAGGCCTCGCAGCTCAGAGTTCAGGGGAGGCAGACGGCTTTGACATAAGGGACAGACACAAAGCATCTTCCATCAAAGCAATCTGCAGCGACGAAAAACCTTACCGTCCACGACGCCTCCTTGGGAATAAGCAGCGAAGCTTGCAACGGAAAGTGAGATCAATCCAAGCCAGGTGTAGACGATCTCGGCCTCAATGTCACACACTTGGTCTCCACAGAGAAGCTAGCCGTACCATGCAGTACCATTGCACTACCCTTGTTCTGCTGAACCCTTCCGAACCGAAGTTCTGATCTGCTCTATACTGCTGATTCAGCGCTGGAATTGCTGCGAGCATTGATCTCCTGTTGCTCTCTGATTGTCATCCAAGGGGCCACATAGCCCCAGCGCCTCAGCGTGGTTTCAGCAGCGTTGAGGCGCTGCACCTTAGTGCAAACATCGTGGCGTGAGCCAGCGCACGGTTTGCTCCATCTCCTCTTCTGTGGTGTGAAGGCGCATAACCAAGACTGCAAATCCCCCGGCTCGAGTTGATTTTCGAGTTTTCGGGTGGGGCGGAGCCACTGCATTTCTGAGCTCCATCAGTCAAGGCTAATCAGCGATTGCGCCTTTGTCTTCTGTGCCGAGTTGCCACCAGAGCGACGCGGGCGGCATCGCCGGACTTGGGGGCAACTTCTTCGCTGCTGGATTCCTCCCGACTGGCACCGCGGCTAGCTGCATACGCACATGGGGATGCCTTCATTCAGTGAGGAGACTTACTTAAATTTCAATATGGCCTGCTGTGTTGAGGGTGAGGAATTTGGCCGTGCAAACCCATGTCGCAGCAGAATGACTTTGCAAACGTCCTCCTTGGGGTCTGCGGCCAATGGGACCTTGACCTTGGCACTGTTGTAACGAGCTTCGCCCACACTCCCACTCTCGAGCCACCAGGCTGCCTCTGCCCTGAACGACATGGCGGTTGTGATGGTGGCGGCCGGTGTTGCGGTACCGAATGGCTTGTGTGAGTGGGGTTCTGAATGCCGTCGGTAAGATGACTACGGCGATGGATAGCTTTGTGTGAATACGGCTTAAAATAACGGGCAGATCGGAAGACTTTGCCGCGACACCGTCGGCGCCCTCCGCGCGCGCGGCCGCCGCTGGGTCCAGCCAGGCGCCAAGGCGATACCACCTGCGGTGCTGGCGCGTTTGCAGGCTCACAAGGCTTCGAATCTCCCGGTGCTAGGGCTCGTTGGATGTTGGGTGCAGCCGGGGGAAGTCCTTCTGACTCGTCTTTGCATGTACTGGAAAGAGTGCTCGAATCGAGTCTCACTCGAGGGCGTGTGACGGATGTGTGACTTTGTCACGGAACAGTACAACTTCCTAGTGCTCATCTGAGCTCTTGCCTGCACATCCTGTCAATGCATGAGTCATGTCATGCCATGCCTATCAGTCCCAAAGCCAGTGGCTGGTGGCCGTATCCGGCAAGCCAGGACGGTGTTGGCGTTGGGAGGGCTTCCGCCGTTTGTGAGCTCTGTGCTCGCTGCACCGCCTCCCCCACCTCGGCAACGCACTTCAGGCCCTTCCCCTTTCTATATATCTGCCATCAATACTGTACTACCATACAGCCCATTCTAACATAGCAGCCTGTCAGGTCGGATGCAGGCTCAGTGGCATGGACCAATCTTGCCGCTGGCGTCACGGGCTGCATGCCTGCAACTCCTGCGTGCAGAATCGCGCATCACTGCTGCTGCAATCGGTTTCGAATCTGCGTGCGAGTCGCTACATCTGTTGCTGGAGGACCTGCCTTGCACCTGCGAATGCCGACAGCCCTGATGGAGCGTCTCCCCTGATGTCTCCTCGACCCTTCTCACGCCGTAGCGGCTTAGTCACTCGCCCCACCCTTGAGCCAACAAAGCCTGCAGCGGGGTTATACATACCATTACACATAATGTGTAAGATAGCTGACCTAATAAATTGACCATGTGTAAGATAGTTAGCTGACCTAATTCTGGGCAGCTGACGCTGAGGCAGAGGCTTTAGGCCAAGCCGGGTTAGCCAAGCGAGATATTGGCCTTTTGCCACTCGAAATCCAACCCAAGGCGAAGCTGAGGCAAACTGCAGGCCCGCGAAGGGTCAGGGCCTGCATCAGAGTCTCCATTTTCATCCGCGTCAGCGGTCTGGGACCTTGAGCACGAATAACACTACAGCTTTCTTGATCAAGCCTCCAGTGCTCGTGTGTGCAGGCTTGTCCGCGTGCAAGTGTAATGACACGAAATTTCAAGTTGTTGCACAGCAATGTCGGCTTCGCACACCACGACAGATGCAAGGGCCGAGTGCTTGGCAGGGCTGAGCTGGTCAGCTCTGCATCCAGCACGGCATTGTTGAAGCTGGTGATGTATCTGGCTGCTCATTCCGTGCCGAGGCGTTCATGCTGCACACATCTGCACACTACGAGTACCATGGTGAAGCTCTGCGTGCCAAGCCCGCCTCGGAATTGCTCCGAAAGCCTTTGATCCACTGATTAATGATTAGATCACATGTGTCGCTCCCTTCCGCCACAGACCCTGAAGCAATCTTTCGATGACTCTGCTTCGAGCAAAAGGCAGCCTCCACAGCCCGTCAGCATCACGAGAGAGGACACTCTCGGGCAAAACCTGCCGGGGGCCCCGCGCTTAGCAATAGAAAAGCCTGCGGAGCCTGACGCGCGGAGCATTCCCAAACCTAGAAAAGTGGGAGACCTGAGCCACGGATGTTCCCTCAGGTAAGTCTCGCAGCTTGGACCTTGGTGTGCTTGGAAGCACCAGACTGTCTTTCATCAGTTTTTCCTCGGCTTCTCTAACAAGCATCGAGAAGCTTTCTGCCTCTTGGAGCTTGGCCACAAATGCGCCAGCAGCGTCTGGGTGGCGCGTGCCCCTGGTTCAGCCACCGACTTTGCGCCGACGGACATCAAAGCTGCAAAAGATGGGCCTTTGTTGCCCGCAACCTGAGCCCGCTGAAATTGTTTATCTGACATTGATTGCATATCCCTGTGTATGCCATCATGCATGTGCCTACAAGTTTGACAAATCTGCAATTGCCAGGCAGTTTCGTGACCCCGATCGGAAGCCTCGATAGCACGTTCCGCTGCACTAAGTCTGAGGCGTGCGAGTTGCACATCAGCCAGACGCAGCCGTGTGCGCAGCTGATCTTAGCGCGTCCATACCGCATCAAACTCTCCTCTTCTTCAAGAGCTTGCTTGCCCTCTCTTTTCTAACTCTTTCTCAGTCTTTCTCTATAGGCACATGAAAGCCCTCGTCACATCAGACCCCAACCGTCTCGTGTGCAAGCGCAACCCAGCGGAAGTTGACGGACAGCAGAGCGACCACCTGGCAGCGCTCACTTCCGACATGGCCTCACTATACGCCGCTCCGCTCAGGACTGCTTTGCTGCGAGGGCTTGCAAGCAGCTCGCAAGAAACTGAACCAGATTCCTCGCAGAGGATTCCTTTACGATCCCCTGCAACATGCCAGTTGAAAGATGTCTAAACTCAGCCAGAAAGCCCCTGCAGTGAAGCGGGTGAGCAAGCTCGGAAGCTGCAAGAACATGTCACCTCCTGGCTTCAAGACTGCTGTGGCAAAAACAATGATCACGCACAAAGCTCAAAAATCGAAAAAACATGATGTTTGCTGCCTCGGGAAGTCATGCTTGTTTGACCCTTCACTGCCTCCTCTGTCACGGGTGGTCTTGAGGCATCGGGAGCCAAAGGGAAGCATGCTGATGTCTTGGAGTCTCGTCTTCGGGACTGCGACTGCAGGTCACATGGGCTCCGCACACGTGCATGCTCAGCACGGATGGATGATTGATGGATGGCATATGCAATGGGTGTGGCCAAGCACGAGTGTTATCATCAATGTACGACTGCATTCATGGTGCTGAACTCAGGACGGAAGGCACTGAACAAAGAAATGACATGATTGTCGAAACAGAAGGCGGGATCCAATGACAGCCCTCGGACAGCGTTTTACCAATGAAGCAGATGTTGTCTCATGCAGGCACGGCTTGCAGAATATAATGCATCAAGCTCAGGCAAGAAAAGAAAGTGTCAGAATATATCATGTGCACATCGTACTCCTCCACGAAGATGCTACTTGCTGCGTGCGCAGAGTACTGCGGCATGCTTACCAGCTCAACCACATGCAACGTGAGAAACGGCACAAAGAAGTACATGCGGCGCAGGTCAGAAGCATGAGCAGTCTTCGCCCGTCCCGCAGCCACGGCGCGAAGGGCAAGCGAAATGGCCTGGGGCTTCGACAAGGAAAAAAGAGAGGAGCGTGAGAGAAGCAAGATGTTTAAGCCAAGCCAAAGCTGCAGACGGCAGCCGTGCTCAGGCTGGCACCCCAATGGCATCGCGACCTTCAGCGGTCTCTTGGGAACATCTGAACAGTGGGAGACGGGTGTTTCTCTTGGGCTCCAGCGCCAGGCTGGCTGGCATTCCAAGCCGGCCTGACCGAAGTCGGAAAGCTGAGTGTGATTAGGGGAAGCCAGTGCGCGGGCAGTGAAGTACAGTGGCAGGCACACACTCGAGCAGTTTTCCTCCTGCAGCACCCTGGTGCAAGCGGCCTACATCACCAGTGTGATTACCTGCAAATATTCTCTTTGGCAGTATATTCAACTGGCTGGGTCTATGTACACGAAACGGGCTTCCGAAACTGGCACGGTTTCTGTCTGCAGCGGCTATTCTACAGCTCTGCCACAGCATGTTTCAAAGAAGGTCTTCACCAGAAAATCGAACCTCGTCCACGGAATGGGCATCTGCATCGAAGCTACTCAGCTCAAAAGGCAGATGCCTGCTTTGCAAACACCTGGATCCCTGCATTGCTTCTCCGAGGCACCGGTAAGCCCTCCAGGATGTTGGTCAGTCGATTCTCCAGGGACTTTCGGACTCGGCCCCTTCTCTGCTTCTCCTTCGGGAAAGAGCAAGGGGATGTGTTACAAGGAAGTCTCGTCATGTCTCCACTGGCAGAAGCATTCTCTCGCCTCTCGTGGTAAGCTGTTCCGAAATGTGCTTTGCTGATGACGGAGACTGTTCGGCCGTCCAGCCCGGGTCCTTGGTGGAGCTCCCCATGGGGCCCATGGTCGCATCCAGCTTCGGCTGCGCTCCTTTTGCAAAACAAATTTAAAGCTTGAGGACATTCAGCGCAAGGCAGCTCCGGGCATGGCTGGTTGAAGGTGTGCCGTTTCAGGTGGGGGCTTCAAGCGTCCCTACATCTCACCTGGGCCGACAATACTCGAATACATAGTCCTCGGGCTATGCTCTTCTTGACGTGCGGACGGGCTTGTGCAAGAAAAGGTCGAGGCCGGCAACAGCCCATGCAAGGGCAGCAGGCCCATGCTTCAAAGTCGAACTCAGTCCTTTGTCGCGATCCGGTCTGGACGAGCCGCCTAGCAATGACCCGATCACTTGCCACCAGCTATCAAAAAGCATCGAGAGCGTAAGTAACAACTAGTAAAAAGTAACAAAAATTCGCCCCAGCCGAAGCGGTCATAAGGATTCCCTGATTCCCCACCTCTTAATCCTTCCGCCCGCGACCCACCCCACTTAGCTGTCCCTCGTCTCTTCCTTGCGGCAAGGCAAGACGGGCTAGCTTACATCATTCGTGAAGCTGATGCCAAAGCCTGCAAAGCTTAAATTCCCCTTCCAACAGATGGGAGGTTGTATACGAGACCAGTGAGAAGCGCTATACGAATATTATGGTAACGTCTGGGTATAGGCGGATTTTTGCGCGG